TTACGACAGGAAGGTTCTGCTAGATTTGACAAAAATTATCAAACCTTTTGAAGATGCAACATTATTGCTGCGAGTCTCGACTTTCTCATTTTGAGTCTGATGTTACTTATCAACTTGCTTCTATGTTGGATCTTCGTTTCAAACTTCTGTGGGCAGCTCCAGAAAATGTTGAGAAGCTTACTACATTGTTTAAAAAGAATGCCTCTTCTTGTGATTCGACACTGTCAGATGGTGAACATTCAGATACTTCTCCCCCAAACAAGAAGCAAAAATCTGAGGACTTTTTCAACCTTCTGCTGAAATCTACCCCCAAGCGTAAGCGGCACCTCTCTGTGAGTACACAACTTGTTCAGCGTTATCTTGAGGAGCCTACTCTCGAATCAAATGCTGACTCACTTCTGTTCTGGAAAACAAATAAACACTTATATCCTTCTTTAGCAAAGATGTCCAAAAAGTCTCTGTCAGTCCCAGCTTCCTCTGCTCCTGTTGAACGCTTGTTCAGTATCGCTTAAAAGATCTTCAAACCTGACAGGATGAAGTTAAGGGATGAAACCTTTGAAACTCTGATGATTATAAAATGTAACAGCAATCTTGTATAAATATCAACCTGATACTGAACATGAACATGTAGATGTGTTGTACAGTGCTTTATATATATATATATATATATATATAACACTTGCAAAATTTCTGTATTTATTTTTTTATTATTACTTATTACTGACTTTTTAATTTTTTTTAAAAAACTACAAAAAAGTAATGGTTATGCATTACTTTACTAAAGTAATGGTAATGTAATGGATTACTTTAAGAAACTGGATTAATGGTAATTTAATGCCAAAATTCTTGAAGTAATGGTAATGTAATGCATTACTTTACAATGAAATTCGCCCCAAGCCTGGTGAGCAGTGAGGGTTCTTTATCGTGCCAACGCCTACCGTGACATGGGGCCTCGGTTTTTTAAGGTATCATCCGAAGGACCCGCAATTTTCACTTCAAAGTGCCGAGCGCTTGGCGAAGGAACAGTTGCGACCTTTTTTATCGACTTAAGTCAGTCGCGGCCGTGATTCGAACACGCTACCTTCCGATCACGGAGCAAGCGCTCTACCGACAGAGCTACCGTACGGCCACCAATTTCGAAGAACGAACGAAGTATACCTTTCTTCTAAACCTTACGTTCCCATTGCGATTTCTTGTAATTCTCTCAATATCAGCAAACAGTTTGAGGAAAATAATGTACGTTATAAAAAGTATTGCGTGCATTGTACAATCTGCAATTTATAATTGACGTTCAATGACCTACGTAAAATATCTGAGATGTTCAGTGAAAAATAAAATATAACTAGTATTAATTGTAAGGGGACCGTTACAGATGTTCCCCAAACGCTCCCCAACTCCCTTTTGGTGTCCTATTCCCAGTAAGCTTCATTAACTATGGCAATCAAGTATGTTGGTCCTTTTACGCATTACACGCGCGCGCACGGGCATGCATGTACATAATGACCATGTTAACATTTTTACACTTTTAATACATCTTTATATTCAAATTTCATCAAAAGATTAAAGAAATCGGCTATATTACATGTAAGTTTATTAAATTTTGTCATTTTACGCATTGCACGCGCGCACACTTGCATGCATGTCCATGATGACCATGTCATCTTAATGACCATGTCATCTTATCTACACTATTAATATATCTAAATATTTTGAGTATCAAAGCATTTCATCATCGTTTTGGCTGAAGGATTGAAGTAAAAAAATCACTGATATTTATATGCAATGTTCTTCGATAACTACTTGAAAACTGACAAGTTTTAGGAATTTTTTTTCTGTTTATGTACATTTCAAGGTTACAGACTATTGATATATTTCTGATACTAGATGAAATCCCGCGCAAGCGTGGGGAATTGAATTTATACCACCACCGACAGAAAAATTCCAGTAATATATATTGTAGTTTCACTGACAGCTAAAAGGGTTATAGCAGGAAGAAATACTTTGTTCAAAATCCCGCATTTACATGTAGCTTTGGAGCACAGCAGAAGTAGATGTACGTTACCCCTCCCCCTCCCTTTGTAAAAACTTGAAAAATAACAATTTCATTAATTGACGTTCATTGTGAAACCTGTTATACTATGTTAAGTATATTGTACTTCAGTGCTTTTATTTCATTTCGTCAAGGATAAAAGCAGCGAATATGCACATTTTAATGATAAATTGAACCCCCCCTTTTTTTTGTAAACATTAGCTTTTAACGCCCTATGAATAGGCCGAGTATTTGATACAAAAGACTATTTAAAAAAAAAAAACAAAACTGAAATGTATTGATTAAAGCACAGAATTTTAACATCTTAATTGTATTTGAACAATACCTTATTATCAATAATTTTCTCTTTTCATGTAAGCAAATTTATTATGAAGTACAAATTGTACTTCGGGTTCGTTGCCACTATGTAATATAAAAATTTTACCAATAAATTTATTAGGAAAACCAACTAATAGTCTTTTGATATATTAATATATTCACAACTTATAGTGTTATCAATGATTTACCATTATTTCAATGACCATTTACATAAAGGCTTTTTTATGTTCATGCAGCTATAATCGCCTCGTTTTTTGTTTTAACATCGGGCTAGATGCTAAATGATGTTCTAGAAGTTTCCGTCAATATTAAGATCGGTGAAAGGAAATTAATTTACACGTTTTTCTTTTTAATCGGTTATCACAACTTAATTCTTTTATATCACTTAAATCAAGTTTTGCTTGATTAATTTAGTGATGACGTTTTATGAAGTAAATAAACTTTTGCTTGTTGTCAGTTTCAATAAAACTTGCCAGTAACTTAGATCCGCCAACCGCAACCGCCACCGTACTCACGTTTTTGCTATTTCATGACTGTTTATAGAAAATGAAAGTAGACTTTTAATTTAATGTACGATACTTACTATGCGAGTGAAATCTGAATATAGTTTACGAACGTCATCTTGTATCTAGTGTATTCCTAGAGGAGTTGGTAAGAACTCTGGTGCACCTGTTTCGGAGTTTATTTGCAAAATTTATTAATTTATAAGTATAGATGCTTTCAGAAAATAGATAAATAATTATACGAAACAAAGAGATCAGCATTAATTTCTAAAGCGTATTTTGTAAACGTGTAAAATACTCATATTTATTAGAATCAATGTCAATTAATTAATCATATTTCGATGCCATAATACAATAATGAATTGTAAATATCAAGTAATAATTGGCATTTTGAGAACCCAAGCCCATTTCTTGGAAGTCGAATTCGAAAGCCAAGGACTAAATGCATTATTTACAAAATAGATGAAAATAGGTTATGAAGTTTTAGAAAATGAGCACCAGCTCAGGACTTTTTATATAGATAACGATGTAGTGAAAATGTTTGAAATGTCATTAGGACTTTCCAGTATTTTTTTCTCAGTTTAGCCTTCATCTATCATTAAAGTATACCTAACTATTCACGAAAACATAGAAGCCAAATATTTAAAAAAGTTTTTATATTCATAAAATTGACATCATTCGAAGTTTTGTATTTATTTTTCTTTCTTGTAGAAGGATTTATGATTTTAATTTGCAAAAATCAAGGAATTTTCAGTTATTGTAAGTACATGTATTTACTAACTTGACAGAGTCTCGAAAATTAGGAAGATATTGACAAATTTCAGAGGGTTCCACCAAAACGATCAAGTTCTTGACTACTGTTTGTGTGGGGTTTTTTGTTGTTTTTTTTTTATCTAGGGTGTCAAAAACCCAAGACACACGCGGACGCTGATATAGAAAAAATTGGAATGACCTTACTTGGTAAACAATGCAGATAAAAAAACTTAAAAATAGAAATTACGTACACATCTCGGTTTGACTGAAAATTTACTGTTTGCAAGTATTTGCGCATACACATATAAAAGTAGTACCCACGTGCTGTTCACCACTTTTACACTGCATGTACTTGGTTTAAATCAAACAGCAGTAAGTTTTTAGAATTATTTAATTTTTTATATACTGAACATTTGAATTTCAAAATTGTTACAGATACGGAATAGGAATGTAGAAAGTCTGCTGGATTACTAAAATCTTTTTTTTTTAAATATCTACTCTTCCTAAAATATTAATCTTTTATAGATTAAAGAAATATATCCAGCAAAATATCCGAAATCCCCTTAATAATTTACTGTTTGTAATCTACATATATTTTTCGAGATGTTCTTAATGTCATTTGTAATGTTTTAAATTCTTAATTTACTGGATGGGAATAAATACAAACTTTAAATTTACTTGTTTATTTTACTCCAATTCAGTAAATTCACAATGTAGAAAATGACAGCATTGAGCAAACATCATAAAGTAAATTCACCAGAATGTTCTGATAACTGTAAGTGAAATCTAATGGCAAGGTACGAAACTGACCATTGTTACTAGTATCACATAATCATGTCAGTGGCATGTCAGCTTTGTTTTCCGGAAAAATGCACACATACACCTCTGAAAGTGAAAGTAATAGTAGGGAACTCCCAAAATTTTAGGGTATACACACATTAAACAAAATAACTTTCAACTCCTACATGTACACAACTTTGGTCTGCTGTAGCCCCAACCTACCCCCAGAGGCCATGATTGCAGAAAATGTTCAGTAACTGTTGCACTACCCGGGGGTGCATACCAAATTGTTTTCAAGTTCAGGAACTATTTCGTATAACTGTCCTTCTTTATTCCCCTGCCGATTCTAAAATTCAATAAAAGCATGTATCCATATTTCAAAACTTCTTTCATAATATTTTAATAAAGTAATGAAACTATATATTCTTTTTTTTTTTTACAAACTCTATTTTGATTGATTTATAACTGCTATATAAGATAAGAAAAGATGATGTATTATGTAATGAATTTTCTACATTTATCGTAATTCCAGACAAAAAAAGAAAATGAGAATTGTTACAATACAATGAAATAATTTTGTACATTTTAATAAAACTTAGATGGCAGAGAAGAAATTAGAAGTCGTCGTGGAGAGTGGGCGTTGTCGCGATATTGTTTCCGACTTGTTGACAGAGCAGGTGCTTGCAGTGGATTGTGAGGGGATACAGCTGGGTGTGGAGGGTCCCCTAACGCTCCTTCAGGTGGGGACCTATGATGGAGACGTGTATTTGTTTGATATACAGGAAAACCGGAAGCTACTATCGGAAGGTTGCCTCGGTACGATACTGGAATCTATTGAGATAGTAAAGGTACATAGATAAAACAAATTTACATAATAATGCTATCAACTACCCACATGATATCAAGAAATAAGAAAGAAAGCGAAAATTGATCAAATAAATATAGCAAAATTTAGTATGCTATATATTATGCTAGCATTTAAAGCGCTCTATATTTGTAGTTATTTATCGTATTCATTATTTGTCTTCATTTTTTTAAAGTTTTATTTTCTTATAGGCATATTGGGAATTCATAATTTTATTCATTTTGAATACTAATAATTGCATATCAGTTAGTACATGTATTATTTGCATGAAAAAAAGTTATATCATTGGAAAAATGCAACGTAGCTTAGCATTGGTGTGGTTTGTTTACTTCATGCTGTAAGGATAAGATGGTTTAGTGTATTATGAATAATTATTATAATCTCAATTTGGGTTCCTAATGACAGACATAAAGGATATTAATACTTACAAAAGACGAGTATGAATTCGATAATATCAGATTAGGTACATCTATATCATCAGCTTTGGTACAGTGTATATCTGTACTGTAGCGAACAGTATCTAGGGAACTTCTACTGCCTCGCTAGTGAGCTACCTTGTTTAGAGATGGGGTAGAGTCTCCCTCTATTTCTGGCAAGTTAAGCAACGGCGAGCCTGTATAACCCTTGCATGGGTGACCGCTTCATGTTACAAAATTGGTGGCAGCGTAGTGAATCTAGTTCTGGACAAAAGTTTGGACTTTATGTCCATTTACAGACTTGGTGTCTGTGGACGGCAGAGGTTGCCGTAACTGAAGAGGTCCAAGGCTTGCTTCAGAAAGCTCTAGGGAAGGATTTTGTGTCCATGTACGGACTTTGTGTCCGTGGACGGCGTTGGTTGCCGTTAATGAAGAGGCCCCAGACACTTAGAGAAAAGGGTTCATCAAATATATCATTAGGAGAAATTTTACATTCCTTCAATTTTGTGTAAGAACTGTTGTTTTTATACAAAAATTGGGAGTCCGAAGATTGTATATAGAAGAGTGACGCCTTTTTAGACTGGGCGACGGGTCTGCTAGTATCTATTCTTATATTTTGTACTACTCATGAATGAATACCGGTAAGTACCGAACGACAAGTAACCTCGGGGCCAGACTGTCCACCAGCAGAGTAACATGTTCTGTGGTTAAAATGAAATATGAAGATAACGAACAGTATTCAATCTCGAAAGTCCAATGAAATAATACAAATTTGGAGCAGAGCGAACACGGACCTCAAAATTTAGAGGTGGCTCTCCCTGCCGACCGGTCACATCCGCCGTGTGCTCCTTGTCATAATCGGAAAAACCCGGAAAAATCCGTAGACATTTCAAAACAATGTTATTATTAATATTGGTGTTTTTTAGGGCTGCGCCTTAGTTTCTTTCATTCAAAAAATATTATGAGCAGTTACCCGTAAATTTCCACTCTAAATGTTTAAACAAATTGTGAACACCTCTTAGATCCATCCAATCTTAGTGACTTGGCACCTTTTCTGAAAAACCCAGCGGGGGTATTTGTCCATATTGGACAGTTCTAGTTAAAACATTAGATACGGTATATTTGTATAATCGGATTTTGTACATCTGTATCATCAGATTTAGACCACTCGTATCATCTGATTTAGAACATCTGTATCCTCACATTAAATACGTCCGTATCATCAGATCTGGTACTTCTGAAAATAAATGTAATGACACTTGAGTGTGCTGATACAATCTGCAAATCAGTGAACTGCTTTCTCATCCAGGTTAGTATGCATGCACCAACAGCAGTGTAGCCTTATTTCGTAACCCTGAAGAATGTTTTGCTTCAATGGTATATCTGTGTCATTAAATTTAATATACATGTACCTGTACCATCAGATTTAGCATATCTCTGTCATCAGTTATAGTATATCTGTGTTACTAGATTACGTACATCTATGTCATCAGATTTAGGTCATCTGTTTGCTTTGGTTTTGTTTGTTGTTTAACGTCCCTCTCGGGGATTTTTCACTAATATGGAAATGCCAACACTTTCCAGTGATGTAGACCCATACTCGGCACTCAGGGCCATCGATCAGTGAGGGATCTTTTTGGTGCTAGCACCTACTGCGATATAGGACCTCGGTTCATACGGTCTCATCCGAAGGACCGATCTCCACGTCCCACAGTGTGATTCGAACCCGAGACGTAAGGATCAACTTGTGACTTCGCGACTCCAAAGTAAACGCTCAAACCACTGCGCCTCGTGGGTGCATGTTCGCTTTGGTACATCGCATTATCAGATTTGATTCATCTGCTTCGTTAGGTACATCTATTTCAGATTATTTACATTTGTTTCTTCAGATTATGTCCTATTGTATCATCAGCTTTAGTATATACGTGTCATCAGATTTAGTCTAACTGTATCATAAGATTAAGTATATAAGTATCATCAGATCCTTTGAAAATATCAGAAGGGATGCTCATTTGCCATGGAGAAGTAAGCATCCCATGTCAACTTTTAAAATCCGCCGTGTGTTCCTTGTCATAATTAAGCAAACGGCAAAATCTGTAGAAAATTCAATATTAAAAATAATGGCCTACCAATACATATGAAAAACATATGTCAACATTCGACTTGACGATAGCAAGGTTATTGTATCGACCATAGAATTTTCGAAATGTTGACTTTAAACGGGACTGTTGATATCCTTGTATCATCAACTTATTTGTCGGTAGCTTGCCTCGTTTTATAAATTTTAAGTACATACAGAATGCGCTTGCGTATCGAATCAACTGGGAGCCATAAACTCCATATGCAGGTGATAATGATATATTGCTACATAAATAAGGGAAATTGACGATAGAAAAGTTGAAGTCCTCATGTTTTTATTATAAAATTTTGTGGATATTTGCCATTACTCTTTTAGATCACCTGAGTCACTCAAATGACTTGTTGCTATCTCGTTTTGTCTGTCGTCGTTTGTCCTGCGTTAACATTTGAACATTTTAAGCTTTTTCCCCCTAAAACCTCTGAATCAATTTCAACAAATTTGGCATATAGCATTTATGAATGAAGAGGAACGAAAATTTGAATTTCATGGTCCCTGCCCCCGGGGCCTGAGGAGTGGAGCTAAATATATCCAAATTATTGCAATCTCCTTCTTTAATCCTGGACATCAAGCAGTCAAACTGTTGTGGTGTTTATAATAAGGATCGGGCTTTGTACCAAAATTGTGAAATTCATGGTCCCATGGTTAGGGGTTCTAGTGCTAAGGTGCAGAATTTCCATTCTATAATAAAGGACATATTCATGGTTCTAATGATCAGGTGAACTGGTAAATAATAGATGACTAAAAAAGAGACAAAAATAAATTATCTTTTTAAAGTTCTTCAAAGACCAAGAGAGGCCAACGCGAGATATTTTGGGGTTATAAATAATGCTGAAGCACTATTGTTTTTTTTAAATCTACATGGTAATATTGATAAATTGAGAAAACAGACCTACTTTAGAGTTGTTACTGCGTAATAGGCTAATTATTTTGTTGATCCTGATCACCCCATTTCTTTTGATTTGGGACAACAAAACTTTAACTATCAGTTTATTTAAGAAATAAAGTATCATTTTCAAACTTTTATCGGGATGTAAATACGGTTGGTCATGTGATCAAATCCCATAAAGCCGGGTTTTATGGTAGATTTAATCACGTACCAACCCGTATACATCCCATTAAAGTTTTAAAATGATGCCTTATTACTTATATTTACATTTGTGACTGATTTTTACTCACATATTTGGGTAGTATAGTTTTAAAATCATGAAGGATTTTTTTTACAAACCTGAACCGTATAAATTGAATGTGTTGAACACGTCTGTCACTTATGACGTCACTATGAAATTACGTCAATTGTTTATAAATAAACAATGAACTTAAGGTCAGGTGACGAAATTTTTCATACTTAGGCGTATATAAACCTTCTCAAATAAAGGTTTATTAGGGAAAACATTTGTAAATGTAAATATTATTCAATTATTGCTGGTTTTGAGGTCAATACGATGATTTAGACACCTGAGAAGTACAATATTCACCGAACCCAAAGAGCTTGTAGATTCGGGGGTATATAGTTTTTGCCCTGCCCGTCCGTCTGTCCGCAAAAACGTAAACATTGCCCATAACTTTTGATTGGTTGGAGCTATGGATTTCATATTTCAATTATGTATTCCTTGTGACAAGACCTTTCTTTGGGTACCAACATATTTGACCTTGACCTAATAGTTTGACCCACTTTCACAAAAAATAACCCACCTTTAACTTTGATCATTACTTTTGAAGAGATAGCGCTAGGGCTCTCATATTTCACAAGTGTATTCTTTCTGACAAGAACTCTCCATGGGTGAAAATATTTTTAATCTTGACCTTAGAGTTTACTTTTAAAAAAATTTTTTGAACAGTTAGTACCAGGACTTTCAAATTTCATAGGTTTATTCCTCGTGACAAAACCTTCCTTGGGATACCAACGATCTTGACATTTTGAATTCGAACCTGGAGTTTGACCTTCTTTTGCAAAATCTTCGACGTACCTTTTAAACAGTTGGTGCTAGGGCATTTATATTTTGCATGTGTTTTTCTTGTGACAAGGTCTTCACCAGCATATACCATTAATTTTGACCCCTTGATCTTAGAGTTTGACCCAACTTAGAAAATATTAACCTTGACCATAACTTTTGAATGGTTTGTGCTTGGGCTTTCATATTTACCAGGTATATACATTAACACAGGTCCTTTCTTGGGGTAACAACATTTTTGATCTCTTGTCCTTGACTTTAGAGTTTGAATTGCATTTGAGAAACTTTAACCTTCGCCATAAGCTGCCATAGGGGGACATCAGTGTTTCACAAACACATCTTGTTCTTCCAGGTTATGCACGCATGCACCAACGATAGTGCCGCCTTATTTCATCAATTTAATGTGACTCTAAAGAATGTTTTTGATACCCAGGTAAAAATTTATGATTTTTACGTTCACGACAATTTTTCATTCACTATAAAAAGGTTTTTATCAAGTTTGTTGTCTTAAATATGCGTTAAATTTATTCTTAATATTCAATACTTGGTGAATTCACAAAAATTTATGTTCTGTCAAATAAACCTAATTATTTAACGATAAGTTAAATTTTAACATTCATTTTTCACCATTTCGTAGGTTGCCGATGTTGTACTGGAAGAAGAAAAGGGTCGTTTACTTGCCCCAGTCTTAAAATTACAGCATATGTGTGAAAAATATTCAACTGGAGACAAAGTCTCAGAATTGAAAGAGGAACTGAAGGTAATTAATATATTTTTAACCGTCTTTGTTATGTCACCTCGAACGAACTACATTTTTGTTTGCGAATTTTCTCTCAAATGGCATACACCGACGATCAATATGAAACTTTAACCATGTCTATTTGTGATTTCAACATTGTGGTATTTCCACCCTCCTGTGATGTCATAGATTGTAGCAAAATTTGTTATTTCTTTATATTCGTACCCAATGGAAATATATGTTTTTGAAGAATGTTTATCAATAGGTGTTACAAAAATATTTTTCTTTAATAGAATTTAAATTATAAATATTTATATAAATTGAGTGCAGTATATTTTTTCATTTAACTCATTCTTTAAAACAAGATGTGTTTGTGAAACACTGATGCCCCCCTATGGCAGCTTATGGCAAAGGTTAAAGTTTCTCAAATGTAAGTCAAGCACCATGTCAAGATCAAAAAGCTGGTACCCAAAGAAAGGTATTGTCTCGAGTAATATACCTGTGAAATATGAAAGCCCTAGCACCAACCGTTGAAAAGTTATGGGGAAGGTTAAAGATTTTTAGAAGTAAGCAAAACGTCAAGGTCAAATGGTGCCCAAGGGAAGGTCTAGAAATATACATGACTGTGAAGTATGAAAGCCACATCACCAACTGTTCAAAAGTTATGGCCAAGATCAATTTTTTTCAAACTTAAAGTATGTCAAGCTCCAAGGTCAAATTTGTTGGTATCCAAAGAAAGGAATATACATGTGAAGCATGAAAGCTCTGACTAGCACCAACAGTTCAAAAGTTATGGCCAAGGATAAAGTTTTTCAAAAGTAGGTCAAACTCCAAGGTCAAGGTCAAAGTTGTTGGTATACAAAGGAAGGTCTTGTAACAAGAAATACAAATGTGAAGATTAAAAGCCCAAGCACCAACTGTTTAAAGGTAATAGCCAAGGTTGCAGTTTCATAAAAATTTGCAGAAGAAGGTCAAAATCCATGGTCAAATTTAATAGTGGTATCCAAGAAAGGTCTTGTCACAAGAAAAACACATGTGAAGTTTGAAAGCCCAGGCATCAACTGTTCAAAAGTTATGGTGAAGGTTAAAGTTTATTTTCAAAATTAAAGGAGGTCAAACTCCAAGGTCAAGGAAAAAGTTGTTGGTATACAAAGGAAGGTCTTGTCACAAGAAATTCAAATGTGAAGAATAAAAGCCCAAGTACCAACTGTTCAAAAGTTATAGCCAAGGTTGAAGTTTCATAAAAATTTGCAGAAGAGGGTCAAAATCCAAGGTCAAATTTAATGTTGGTATCAAAGAAAGGTCTTGTCACAAGAAAAACACATGTGAAGTTTGAAAGCCCAAGCACCAACTGTTCAAAAGTTATGGTGAAGGTTAAAGTTTATTTTCAAAATTAAAGGAGGTCAAACTCCAAGGTCAAGGTCAGAGTTAATATCTAAAGAAAGTTCTTGTCACAAAAAATACACATGTGAAAGATGAAAGCCCTAGCTCCAACTCTTCAAAAGTTATGGCAAAGGTTAAAGTTTTTTTTAAAAAGTATGTCAAACTTAATTGAAATATGAAAGGTATAGCTCCAACTTATCAAAATTTATGGGCAATGTTAGTTTTTGCGGACAAACAGACAGACAGACGGACAGGGCAAAAACTATTTGCCCCCGAATCTTCGATTACGGGGCATAAAAATGCTACAAAGGGTACTGCGATACTAATGTTTCTACATTCTTAAGCTTGCGTTTTCCCTATCATACTTGTACAGCTAAATGGTTCCCGATATCCATCATTTATAGATAAAATAAAGAAACAATTATTTGTAACTTTTATTATAGTCTGTCCCACGGTACCAAGGACCTCACTTTTCGCCTCATGTCTCAAAATGTATAAATACCTTGGCCTTCAAACTAGGTTCGATCGATAGATCATTTTTTTTTTCCAAACTTCCTGCATTCATCCGAACCCTCGAGTTCAACCAGTGTATTGACACGGCGGCAAATTCAAAGTCTACGGGGATTTAACATGGTAAACTCGTCCATTAGCGTCAAGATCACGGGGCAGGAAACCAGTTTTTCGAGGGAGTAGTCGTTCTTGCCAAATTAAAATTACAAAAAATCTTAAAAATTCAACGAAAGTAATTCAGTGTGATTTGGTTAATAATATTAGTATTGTTTTGCATTCAAATATATTTTTGACGAGTTTTCTCATAAAATGAGAGAAAATAATCCGAATTCAATGCAGTACAAGTTGTGGATATTGAGGTCATGCATTTCCTGTAGAAAGGGATGTTGACAGTGTCTGGTGACCGTGCGTGTTACTTACAGCTTCATTTGTTGAAAACGTAGCAAGATGGTAAGTTGTTGTTATTTTCTTTATTTCATACCTACCCAAGAAAGAACTATTTCAAATGCTAAGAATAAGTCAAAAAGTGCGCATAAGTGCCCCATAATTATGATAATGTGTTACATGTCCAAGAAAGAAAAAAACAACAACGAAAACTGACATTTTTATCAACTTATTTCAAATCATAAAACTATTAGGAAAAAAGAAAACGTACAAATACACCTTTTAATTATAATGACAATGACTCTTTTTTTTTATTAGAAGCTGGTAGATTTTTAATTATTCATTTAAATGCATGATCATGTAGCTTTGTAGGTCGATCTACTTTCACTTTGAACACTTCATGTATTTGGCAGTCACTACCTACATGATCCATAAAAAGCAAAATTTTACATTTATGTGAAGTGTCAGCACCTTGACGAATCACTATACAGTTTGTTTATATATATAAATATTCTGGACACTCAAGATTTTTTCTGAACTTTGTAGTTTTAATTTTACAGGACTGAGTTCTAAGGGTCTTTTGTGTTTTAACATACAGAGCTATCAGATATTGCTAGATGTATAAATATATAAATAAATGTTACATGTTGATTGATGCAGTCCAGATTTAACTATATTTCAAGAGTTACTTATCTACTGCATGCTTTGCCCAAGAATGAATATATGATGGAGGAAAATGACAACATAATTATCCAATAAAATACTTACATTGATAAAATTGCATGAAATTCAAAAGATGCAGTATTTCACCTAGGCACAAGTGCATATGGTAAATACCATATAAGAATTATTTGTATTATACAAGACATGCTATTAAAAAATTTAAATTTGTAACATTAATTACATATATTGGAGATTCACATTATCTGTTTTACAGCTATTTTGTTGTTTTTTTTTGGGGGGGGGGGGTGCTTAAGGTTACACATTAAATGCACTGAATGCAGTATTTCTCATTTTAAAAATGTCAAGTAAAAAATTCCTAGCTAAATATGTTAATATGTGTATTATTGTCATCTTTTTCAGGCCCAAAGAATAGTCTAAACCAAAGAATACCAGATAGTTTGCCCAGTAGTGATCACTTGATGAGCCAGACACAAATTGAAGTGTGAGTGATATAATGGAGAGAAAAATACTCACTTTCTAATCCATTCATGGATGTTGTTTCTCTCCTCGGCTTCATGTTTATTATGTCCAATATGAGTCATGACTTTTCTTTTGTACCAATTGACATTCAAACCATGGACACCTGCAGCACTATTAGCATTTTACTTTCATTTCTTCTTCAGCCTGAATATCTGTAAGATAATCTTAATAAATATAGGATAGACAATTAATTTACCTCTTGGAATATTTTCAAATTACTTAAAATGCTGAAAACAGTTCAGACAAAATTACAAATAACATAGTATGTTGAGTGGCTTTACCCTCTAAGTTCACTAATTTTAGATTTAAGTAATATGAGATTTGATATTTTTACAACTTGTAATTCAAGTTTTATAACATTTTTCACAGTATGAATTTAATTTGCAAAGCAGAAGTTATAAATTATGAAACTTGGTGTCTTGAACACTGATATCTCATATCAAAGTGATTTTGAAGTCTCAACCACTTGAATATTCGTGAAGTACGATATTTGATACTTGATATCTTGAATATTCGGACATCTGGGAAGTTTTTATCAGTCCCATCGTAGGATGAGGTTTGACAACAAAGTTTGACTAATTAATATGATAAATATAAACACATGATGATTTTTTTTTGGTTTGTCAAGCTTGAACTGAAAATGTTTGATTCCTCCCCCCCCCCCCTCCACACACACACACTTAAATTGCTTCCAATGGGCCTGACCCCATAAATTAAAAATGATTTCACAGATGACTGTAGACAAATCCCCCCCCCAAAAAAAAAAAAATTAAAGCTACATACATGTTTCTGCAGCTACTTAAGATTGAATTATTATAATGTACATGTTTGCATGCTCTTGTCTGTTTGTCTTCATGTTCTCTTTCCTAATAATTAAATTCTTGTTTCAAAATAAAAAATGTTAAACGTTTTATCTTTTGTTTTTATTTTACATTTCATTGTTATTATAATTTAAAAAAATGAGAGGACTTTGACTTACATTTTTAGCAAATGTAGATTTTTTTTACATTAAAATTTAAAAACCAGGCCCTAGGATCATGAAACATCTTAAGAGTAAGTCAAGATCTTTATTTTATTCTAAAATGTTGTAGAAGTCAAGCAGACCAAAATTAAAATATTTTTTAATATTGCTTCACAAGTGCTGTTTTCTACAAATTTAGATATTATTAATTAAATAATAAATAAACATTTTACAACCGATTGAAAATAAGTTTAAGACTGTTTCGTGATCCTGGGGCCTGGTCTTAAAAGTTTTATAGATTTGTAAAATCATTGAAATTTCTGCCACAAAGTTTTTATATTAAAAAAAACGTGTATACAAATAAATTTTAATAAATAAAAAAAAATAATGTACAATTGTATTCCATTTATGTTCTTGGGTTTGTGTGATTACTATTTTCAAATTTTATTTTTGGCATTAAAACTGCTACATATATATATGGAAAAACTATTAAAAATACATAATTGTTTTAAATCTCAGGGCCTGCATTTACCTAATGCCGATACAGGAAGTTTTCAAAGGGTAAGGTCAAAATCCATTGATGACGTAGTTTGATGCAGACAACATGTAGGCCTAGATCTTGTTTTGCAGAGTGATTCAAAATGTATAAACATGGATTTTATGTGCTTGAGAGTTGTGAATTCATGATAGAAGTGATGTTTAACAAACTGTTTAACCGGTTTACAACAAACAATAGTATACTGTCAGGTGTGTTGGATTTATTTACGAGGCAAAGGTAAAGCTGTAATTAATTACAAATCTAAATTATTAGAACATACTAATACTCGCTTACAGATAGATCTATCATGCTATGTGTTGGGAAAGCAATGATGTCACTTGGTTGAATTTTGTTGTGGCCTTGTTCGTTCTTTCCATTTGAGATCACTTTTGTCAGTTATGACTTCTGAAGTAGATATGAGTTGAATCTTACCTCTTTTCTTAGTAGTGTTAAGCACTTGTTCCCGGGTACGTCGAAGACACTGTTTTGCAATTTTTTCGCTGATAAATCTGTGTTTATTGGTCACTTGGAAAGTCTCGGGCTATATTGCGTTCCGTACATCGGTAAGCACAGAGCATTCCCGAACGTGTGTTTCGTCAGTTATGTCACTGACGGCGATGTACGGAAAATCACGAATAATGATGGATCCCCTTCCGAAGTGGCGGCCATTTTGCCAGTGTTAAATCCCCGTAGACTTTGAATTTGCCGCCGTGTCAATACACTGGTTGAACTCGAGGGTTCGGATAAATGCAGGAAGTTTGGAAAAAAATGATCTATCGATAGAACCCAGTTTGAAGGCCAAGGTATTTATACATTTTGAGATATGAGGCGAAAAGTGAGGTCCTTGGTACCGTGGGGCAGACTATAATAAAATTTGAATCAGTTTGAAGCAATTTTAATGATGCTCCTAGAAAAAAGTGCAGTTTCATTTTTTAAATTCCGACATCTTAAAAAAAGTGGCGACCCATATATTTTTAGATCACCTGAGCTGAAAGCTCAAGTGAGCTTTTCTGATCACTATTGTCCGTCCGTCTGTAAACTTTTCACATTCTCAACTTCTTCTCAAGAACCACTGGGCCAGCTTTAACCAAAATTGGTACAAAGCCACCTTGGGTGAAGGGGAGTTTATATTGTCAAAATGAGGGGCCAAACCCCCTTACAAGGGGAGATAATCAAGAAAAGACAAAAATAGGGCGGGGCCATTAAAAAGTCTTCTTCTCAAGAACCTCTGGGCCAGAAAAGCTGAAACTTATGAAGAAGCGTCTTGGGGTAGTGTAAATTCTAAATTGTTAAAATCATGACCCCAGGAAGTAAGGCGGGGCCAAAATAGGGAATCCAAAATGAACATTGAAATATTTAGAAAAAAAATCTTTTCAAATCTTCTTCTCAAGAACCACTTGGCCATAAAAGCTGAAACTTATGTGGAAGCATCCTTAGGTAGTGTAAATTCTAAATTGTTAAAATCTTGACCCGGGGGGTAGGGCGGGGCCGCAATAGGAAATCAAAGTTTTACATTGAAATACATTAGGACAAATCTTTTAAAATCTTCTCAAGAACCAATGGGCTAGAAATGCTGAAACTTGTGCATCCTTGGGTAGTGTAGTTTCTAAATTGTTAAAATCATAACCTTGGGGCTAGGGTGGGGCCACAAAAGGTATTACAAGGGGACAAAAACTTCTTTTTCCCAAATTCATTGTTCTCTTCAACAGTATTTTAAAAGTTTTTCAATTGCATAAAATAAATATCTGTCACCACAACTTTCTGGGGTTTAAAATTTCAGCGACGTTCGCTGCATTAAAACAAAAGGTTTAGGCCATCTTCAAAAGTAATATTTGTTTGCTCTCTCCCGACTCAGGGAAAAAAAATTGGGTCGGTAGGCAGGTGAGGAATTTTTTTTCAAAAAAAAAAAATTCAAGATACTTGTGGAAGGGGTCGGAAAATTCAGGAATATAAAGGGAAAAAGTATAGTTTCCTGGAGGCACAAAAAATTTTGAGACGGGCCAGTCGGTCGAAAGAGGACAAACAAACATTTTTTAAGATGGCCTTACATTTGATTTTTTTTAAAGAAGTAGTTAAGTCTGTTTTCAGATTTAAAATGGCACTGTCAGGATCAGGTCGGGTTGACATTCAGTTGCTAAATTTTCCAGTTTTAGTTCTTCAAAGATATTATTCATGTTTTTGTAGACCGAATGGAGCAAAAGGAAGAGCGATTTTTGGGCCATACGCCCATTAACGGACGAAATGCTCTCATATGCAAGTGGTGATGTAAAAGCACTAATACCTGAGGTTTACGTAGAACTAAAGAGGTAAGAATCGAAAAAGATCACAAGCAGAAATCTAAGTTTCTTGTTCTTATCATATGAAAGTGGATTTTTATATATCAAACCAAAACTTTTGATTTTTTTTGTTGTTTTCACAGTCAAATAGAAAAGAAGAAATTGCAGACATGTTTTCAAGAACGGGTGTTAGAGGCCATAAATATTAGCTTAGATCCCGAGGCAAAGTCAAAACGACTAGAACGAGTTCAGAATAATATAACACAAATTATTGATTCCATTGACAAAGATTGGGAGGTGAGCACAAAGCTGGAAGACCTTCCTGAAGATGGTAATGAAATACGCGCTTTGAAAAGGATTGATCTCAAAAAAGCTCGCAAAAAGTCAAAATTTATTGACCGGCTTAAAACGGAAAGCATTCAAATTGAATTGAAAGAATTGAGGGATGAACTTGATTCTACCGGAAGCGACTACATTGTGAAACGATATACGCTATCATTTCTCTCACAGATTGAAAATCATCGCAAAAAGGCCATATCAAAGGAGGCAAGACACATAAAAGAAAGGATACACCATATTATCCTCGACGATATAGAGACAAAGTATCAAACAGAAACAAATCTCAACCATATAACACGAACTGAGAAGGAAGTCTTGAGAACTTTGACTCCGAAGAGCACGTACGATGACAACTTTCCACGAAATGTTCTTCGTTTATACTGGATTTTGATGGAAGAGGATTTGGACAGAAAATGTGACGCTTTCGAGGAAAATAGGAAAGACTTCAAAATGAAAAAAGGTTATTATCAGAAAATGAAATTTTTTGTTGCCAAGGGAACTGATGTGCCGGGTGATTTGAAGCAAAAGGCTCGTCGATTTAAACGAGGACTCGATGCACAATTTGGCCGTGATAAAGTCCCCGAGTAAAATTAGCATGAACCTAGTTGTTAGGATTTTGACAATAATCATTGGATCATTTAAATTTACCACTTACACTTATAAATAATAGATAGAAAATTGGGTTTTGTTTTTGTTTTTCCGGAAATTATTGAATTGAGCCTCCAACTCTAGTTGGGATATCAAAACAATTAAAGCGGTGACTTTGGCATATTCAAGCTTGCCAGTTGAGCATTTTTTCATTAACAATTCATGCTATGGTGGGTGAAAACGATTAACACAATGTTCGTTTAGCCAGGTTAATTGATCATAAATAGGTGTCCGCATTCAAAGTGGGATTTATTATACGTGTATGTCATTATCACCAAGTCAACAACAGTTAATCAGTTACAAAATCATGAAAATAATACCTGCAACGGTTATTAATACAACATAAAAGTTACTTTTTAAAAAATGCATCCATAAGATAATACAGTAAAAAAAAACCGCTTATAACGAAGTACCAGGGACGGAAAATTTGCTTCATTATAGGTGTAATTCGCTTATATCCGTTAGGTTTTCAATATTTTTTAAAGTCAAGGGGAGTTAAAATCACTGTGCTATAAGCGATTATTCATTTTAAGCGTGTTTTACTGTACAGGGCTTGGATTTCGTATTTTGAAAATGATTGACCACCTTTTAGCTCTACTGGTCAGAGACCAGATAGAGGAGTGACAAGACCAGCAAAAAATTGACTTTAATGCACCACCCTACCCTACGGCTAATTTGTACTTTTTCGGATAGATAAACTATTAGTCAATAATTTTAGTCCGGTCGAAGAAATTTCTATGGTCAAAATTTAAAATAATAGAAGGTTAAAGGCCAATGACCGAAATTTATGGAAAAAACGTATATTTTGAAAAAGTTCCAAAAATATGCATATTTTCTAGGAATTTTATATATTTTAACATTGATGACTACTTGTTTTATTGGGTGAAAAATTATTTATATAAAAGCGGACGAATATTTTATTAATAATGTCCGTATGTCTGTATGCTGAAATGTTCGTTTTGAAGTAATTCTACTTAAAAAACGTTTAAAGACGAAAAAATGTTTTCTTTCTAATTCAAATTAAAATATCTTAGCTTAAAAAGGTTCCTCTCTCACTACAAAATTAATATCAGTTTAGTTGTAAAACCTAATATTTGGCAAAGCCGCATAACTTGGTGAAAATGGGAAAATGTAATTTTTCAGTTCAGTATAATATTTGAAGAGGTGTAGAAATATGAAGTTTTTTACTGCTAAGTTTCTGTCAACATTTTCAAAAGTATATTTTTACATTTTACGTAATCAAAATACCCTTTTTAGATTTTATCTTTGAAAGAAATATTGAAGGAAAAAAAAAAAAAAAAAATGTATCTCATCTGTGTGAAAGATCCGAAAATTTATGTGCGGCGTGAATCTTTAATGTCACCGTATATCTTTTTCTTTCGACACAATCACTTAATATTTAGAAATTATACAATAGACTTTTAAAATAGTTGGGAAAATAAGAAAGACCTAAATTATGTGAAAAAATCTGCATTTTGTATATAGAAGTAATTTACTTTTAAAATAAGACTTTTGTATCAGGTTAGAGATTATTTATTTTTAAATATATTGAACTCAGATGAAATTCAATGTGTTTTGTATCGGAAGTATTTTTCCCAGTCTCCTAAAGTATAGATTTATTAAATTATTATAATATTTCTATTAATTTTAAACAAGATTGATTATCGACGTTTTTAATATTTTTGACCTCTGCCCTGCGCTTAGTCCAAATATTCTTCAGGTGTCACACTGTGACCGAATTTTTTCTGGCCTTTTTCAAATGGTTGCCCAATGCATTTGACTTTGTACAGTCAAGAAAAAAAAGCCACGGATCTAATTACACTCATCTACTAAACTTAAAAATTTTCGTCTTCCTCAAAAACTGTCGCCAAATTATCATCAGTGAATGTTATCTGGTGTGTCAAAGGATTCCCACAATCCTCTGAATCCTAGCAAAAACATATACTAGTACAGGCGAAATTCTGCCTGTTACATGCACAGTTTCTCCCACAAACTACTTTGCCTCTACATGAGCAAACAAGATCCTGCAAGAAATCAGATGCCGTAGGCCCTTCAAAAAATATAGGTGTCAATCCATTGACACGTTTTTTTTCCAACCAAAATCTAATGGTGATTTGTGCACTGGCTTGGCTATGTGTGAATTCATCCAAACATGGGTTTGAAGCATAACACGAAGAATGTGCTGCATAAAGGATGCTTCACAAGGTGGGAGTCTAGCAAGAGTTGTTTCTTTTGATGTTGCTAGTTTGACTCTAAAGTTATTAAGGTTTTCATGCATATTCTTAAACCTTTCTTATGGATCATACATCAGTGCAGTAAGCTTGCGTGAAGCATTCATAGCAGCATCTAAATCCTCACCTGAAAGTACTGACAAGGTTTGAATATTTTCTGAATGTTTCCTTAGAACTTTATACATAACCTTTTTCCCAAGACCAAAGAATGATGAAGTTGTGTCACAACCTGTCATAGCATGTACACCAGGCAGTAATGAAGATATGGTAGGACCAAGTGATTTGGACAGGTCGTGGACGGGTAAATATCGCCTTCTGTCTCGCAAGCTTGATACATTTCCCGTCTGAAGCCACAACTCATCTATGTTTGTCATATGGGGAAAGTAGTGTATAAGCAAGAGCAACACATCAGTATCAGGGGATCTCAATAGGCATTTTTAGAGAAAAGTTTATAATTATGTAGTAATTACTATAATCTATAGATCAAAACTCCTACAATACTTATATGATTCATTCATACATTCTTATTATGAAAGTGTACCTGAAAAATGGTGTTGAACTCGTTGAGTGGATGCAGAATGAACCAAGGAAGCTAAAATACATATACATTCATTAAGATAAGCTGCACATCTCTTCACTCGTCCTGGTTTCTCAACATCGTCACGGGAACTGAAGTAACTCTTCGGGGCAGGGCAATGGTGAAGAAGACGACCAACACACTTCTCTACGCTCAGCCATCTTGTATAAGATTGTTTCAAGATCTTCAAAGGCTCGATGTCAGTGAATTCCATGAAGTCCTAATACTTCTCTTTTCTGTTGGAACTAAATAACAATAGGCCCATGGGCCACATCGCTCACCTGAGCACATTGGCTAGGAAAAGGCACAAATCACTTCAGTATTGCAAAGTTTAAGGGGGGGGGGTGGCTTGGATTTTGAACTACCTGAGGATGCTTCCATATCAATATAACACATATCAATATAACAAATGGCTTTGCTGTTCTTAAGCAGAAGATTTTTAAAGATTTTTTTCCCTATATATTCCCTTGTTAAAAATTTGATCCCCCATTGTGGACCCTCCCTACCCCCCCCCATCATTTGAACAAACTTGAATCTACACTACCTGAGGATGCTTCCATATCAATATGACTAAACATGGCTTTTCTGTTGTTGAAAAGATTTTTTCCTATATATTCCGATGTAAAAATTTGATACCACATTGTGGCCCCACCTTACCCCTGGGGGTTATGATTTTAAAAAAACTTAAATCTACACTACCTGAAGATGCTTCAGTATCAATATGACAAAACATGGCTTTGCTGTTCTTGAGAAGAAGATTTTTTCCTACATATTCCTATGTAAAACTTTGATCCCTCATTGTGGCCCAACCCTACCCCGGGGGGTCATAATTTGATACAAACTTGAATCTGCACTACAAGAGGATGATTCCATATCAATATGACTAATTGTGACTTTGTTGCTCTTGAGAAAAAGATTTTTCAAGATTTTTTTCTATATATTTCTATGTAAAACTTTGATCCTCCATTTTGGCCCCACCCTACTCCCAGGGGTCATGATTTGTACAAACTTTAATCTACACTATCTGAGGATGATTCCATATCAATATGACTAATTGTGGCTTTGTTGTTCTTGAGAAAAAGATTTAAAAAAAAATTCTATAAATTCCTATGTAAAATTTTTATCCCCCATTGTGGCCCAACCCTACCCCCCGGGGGTCATGATTTGTACAAACTTGAATCTACACTACCTGAGGATGATTCCATATCAATATGACTAATTATGGCTTTGTTGTTTTTGAGAACAACAATTTCAAGATTTTTCCTACATGTTCCTATATAAAACTTTGACCCCCCATTGTGGCCCTACCCTACCCCCAGGGGTCATGATTTGAACAAACTTGAATCTGCACTACCTGAGGATGATTCCATATCAATATGACTAATTGTGGCTTTGTTGTTCTCGAGAAGAAGATTTTTGAAGATTTTTTTCTATATATTCCTATATAAAGCTTTGATCCCCCATTGTGGCCCAACTCTACCCTAGGGGGTCATGATTTGAACAAACTTGAATCTACACTATGTAATGAAGGTTTCACATAAGTTTCAACTTTTACAGCCCAGTGGTTCTTGAGAAGATTTTTAAATGATACCACCAAATTTTCACTAATTCTTAATTATCTCCCCTTGAAAGAGGGTGTGGCCCTTCATTTGAACAAACTTGAATTCCCTTTACCCAAGGATGCTTTGTGGCAAGTTTGGTTGAAATTGGCCCAGTGGTTCTGGAGAAGAAGTCGAAAATGTGAAAAGTTTACAGACGGACGGACAGACAGCTAGACGGACGACAGACAAAATGTGATCAGAAAAGCTCACTTGAGCCTTCAGCTCAGGTGAGCTAAAAAGGACTTGTTATTAGTACCATGAAAGATTAAAGAAACCAAAATTTAAAAAAAATACAAGTACAATAGCCCTTTAACTTGTAAAGCATTATCATTATTATTGAAATAAAATACCTGTGATAGAAGTGAAAATAGACCTCAGCAAGGAGGTCTTCAACTGGCAGGGCAAGGGCCTTGGTTCCAGCTACAATGCACAAGTTGGATAGATGACAAACACAACCCAAGTCAAACACAAATGGTGCCTTCTCCTTGATCCTGGTAACTACAGAGTTGTGGTTCCCTGTCATGACACTGCA